TTTTTTTTTTTTTTGGGGAGGGGGGAGTTTGGAGAGAGGGTTTAAATAGCATTACCCTTAAGAAAAATTGTTTGATAGATTCCTTAATTTTGTATTTGGTTAGTATTTTTAAATCTGAGATTTATATTTTGATTCGTAAGAAATCCGATATATTAAACTCATATATATGGAGTTTGGCAAACCTAGGGGTGGTGGCTTTCATATATCCTAGCCTATGTTAACTACATCAAATGATTTTTCTATCTCTAATAAAATATCCTATCTATCAAATCACATCTCAATCTCTCAATTACTTCTCTATGTAATTAAATAAATATGGTTATGAGTTGGATTGACCCCATGGGTAATATAGTTATTTACAAAACAAATGTGCCCGTATAATTGTGATAAATTCATGAGTACTACATATATATATATATGTGTGTGTGTGTGTGTTACTTACCAAATACAAATATAAATAGGATTCATATATGAATCCCATGTACACAAAGGTAAGGGTTGAATTTAAAAGGGTTTGATAAAACCAATTCAATCCCTCCCCAAAACCATCCAAACATTAGCAGAGTGTATGAAAAAGAGTAATGCTACACTGATCATATTTTGGGACCAAATTTAGAGCCCAAATGATATGACAGAATATTATTTGGAGTTTTTATTGAGACTCAAATGATATGACATCAAATAAAGAAGCCCAAGTCAATTGACATATCATTTGAACTCCAAATTTAGTCATAAAATTTAGTCAGTATAATATTACTGTAATTGAAAACATTCAAAGAAGAATGAGAGACAAAGAAAGATGCCAGCATCTATAGAGAGAGGTAAAATTCATTAATTATGAACCTCCCATTTGAAAAAAAATCAAGAGTTACTAACTGATGTAACATTGTTAGGTAACTTGGGCACATCTACAAAATAAGCAATGCTATTGGGATATATAATTTAGAGAGATAATGATAGTGTCTATTAAATTATTAGTGAATTTCAGCATTAAATGTATTCTATTATCAATTCAATTGTCCTAATACATTATCCTTAAATAATGTCTTATGCTCCATTTAATATAATGGAAAAATGAAAGGATGAAAAGTTAGAGCAATAAATAAAACATCATGCTTGGTAAGGAAGGAAAATATGAAGGATTGAAAAATGGATGAATTCACTTTCCTTCCAACTCACTAAAATTAATCCCTCCAAAATCGGAAGAAAAATTGATGAAAAGTTAATTATTTGTGTTGAGATGTATCTTATTTGTCTATATATTATGTATACATTAATTTCATATAAAAATATAATGATAAAATATGTATTTATATAAATATATATTTTAAAAAATTAAAAATAAATTTAAAAATTAAATTAAAAAAAATATTTTTGTATCTTAATTAGGGGTGAAATTTTTCGACTCAACACGATGACACGATTCAAACTCGACACAAATTTTATGACACGAACTTGAAAATGACCTAACACCCAAACAAAAAATATAAAAGACTCATAATTTTATGACTTAACACGAATTTGACACGATAAGATTCGATTGTCACCCCTAATCTTAGCCAGTACAAAAAAAATTAAAAAAAATTAGTCATTTTTATTTTCCATCTATCTAACCAAACACAACGGAAGGAAAGTGTATCATTCTTGCTTTCCATCATTGAAGGATAAAAAATGTATCATTCTTATTTTTCATCCTTCCTATCAAATGGAGCATTAATATCATAATACCACCATCACCACCAGTTGCCAAAACCATTACCACCACCATTGTGATGGCTCTTAAATTCCATCAATACCCACGTTCTAGGTCTTTAGGCATTGGAACATGTGCACGTGTGTCTAATTGCACATTTAGATTCTTTAGACAATATGATTCCTAGGAATTTCATAGCGCCCTTATGTCAAGTTTAAAGAGAAGTCGAAAGGCAAAAGACATGTGATGACATTCTGAATCATCACGTTTAGGAGCGTTAATCGTGTCGTATTATTTTTAGTCGTATTATTTTCATGTTTTATCACTTTCAGTATATGTCGGATTTGTGTTAATAAAAAATTATTTAATTTAACAACAACTAATATAATATTATGTAAAAAATTATAAAATTCTTATTTTTTATCTACAATACTCGTTAAATAATTATTTTCTATCTACAATATCCATTAATCGCGTTATTCATGTCGAACCTTAACTTGACATATTTATTACTTGTGTCAATTAATCGTGTTATTTTTGAATTCGTGATACCGGAAAAAATTGACATCCTTAAATTCACATCGGTTGTCTGTGCCTAAGGGACCAACATTGCTTTGACAAGATGGCTTTATACAAGTGGAGGGACTGTGGGTTCAATTGAGGTTTAAAGTCTGATATCCATTTGAGTTATAATGTTTTGAGTTATATTTGAATTATGTAATATTTTTTATTTTTTAGGGATGGCCGTAAATTTTTAGCTATAATTAATTTTACTAATAAAAGCTAAAGAATTGTTTAAAATCTCTGCGTTGCATTGTTTTTATGCACTAGCAACATAATACGTGCGATGCACGTGAATAATTTTCATATAAAAAATATAATAAAAAGTATTAGATATATGTGTACTTACATTAAATATCATTTCAAATTTATTAAAATTTTATTTTTATATCTTGTATTATATTATAAAATTCGAAAAATATTGTCTATTTCATGAGATTTGTTGTTTTAACTATATGAAAAAAGATAAAAATAATTCATTTGATTAAGTTTCAACTTAATATTTTTGTTTTTTCGATGGTAATTTTTTCTTCAAAAAAATGTAATTTGACCTAAAAAAATTACAAATTTCACCCCTGCGGCTAACCATTGCTAGAACCAAGTTTTTCGGTACAGTAAATGTTTCTTCACTGCTTGCTGTTGTTCTGGTCGCTGTCTCTCTCTCTCTCATTAAAAATCCCCATCTTCTTTTTGGTACATGTTAGAAATGCCTATCTTCATTATCTTTGTAAATGGATTGAGATGTCCTCCAATTTTCTTCTTGATGAATCATTTACCATGTATTTAAGTCCAATTCATTGTATGTAAGTGATCCTTCCTTTATTAGTGGTGGATGATCCACCAAGAAGAAAAACCAAAAGAAAAGTGCATGTGTTGAAATTCCATGCTTCGCACCGAACTGTCACTTTAAACATACACACAAAAAACTCATAAAAAAGAAAAACTTGTTTTGATATTTAGTAAATACTACTAATGCAACACATACTTTGCACATAAATAATTTTCATATACAAAATATAAATAAAAATTATTATATATATATGTGTACCTATATTAAATACCATCTCAAATTTATCAAAATTATATTTTTATAGCTCGTATTATACTATAAACTTCGAAAAATATTGTCTATTCCTAGTGATTTGTTGTCCTAACTATAAGAAAAAAGATAAAAATAATTCATTTTAAATTTATTTAAGTAGGTTTCAACTTATAATTCATTGAATAAAATAAAAATAACTGTCAATATTTTTAAGTCAATAGGGATAAAATATAAGGTTAATAATATTTTGGGTCTTTAAAATATGCGTTTTTTTGTCAATTTCATCCTTAATATATGAATTGTATCAATTTGGTCTATAAAATATTCAATTCTTGCTTAAATGGTCTCTAACTAGATGATCCATTAAATTTTTTGACGGAAGTGACCATGTGTCATTCTATCAGATAATATCATGTAACCAACACGTGATTATTTTTATCAAAAACTTAACAAATTGTCTATGTATAAATCATTTAAACCACTAACTTACTTTATAGACAAAATTGATACAATGAGAACAAAACTGATAAAACATATATATTTTTAGGACAAAAAGTGTTATTAATCCTAAAATATAATATATTGTTCTATAATGTATATTTTAAAAGAATATTAAAATTCTAAAATTCAAGTTTTACTTAAAAATACACTATAATTTTTTTTTTTTATATAAAACTCTTAATAAAACATGAAGAGTTTATTGTGATTGAAGAATTATGTTGATTTAACATAAATTATTTTTAAAAAAAACTAAACATAAAAAATTATTTTTTATCTTAAAAATGAATTGGTTGAAATTTTACATAAAAAAAATATACATATATAAGCATAATATTATCTTTATATTTGAAATGAATAATGTTAAATTGATGAAAATTTTGAAGATTGTTTTGAGCACTTTATTAAAAACTATACTAATACATATATTTTTTAAGAGTAACGTAATCAATTAAAAAATTTCATAGATACTGATATTTATATATAGGGAATAGAGAA